CCCCCCCCCCCCCTCAGTTCAACAGCTGCAAGACAAGAGATACCTTCAAAGTGTCCTAAAGATTTACTGATTTGAGGGGTGGGAGTCTTTGTTTATTTAATGTCCACGAATCGATATACTCCTTTCTTCAAAACATGGTGTCTAATTCCTTTCCCCTTGAGGTAGGGACATACCTAGAGTTGACTTTAAGAAATAAGAAGGTGGGGAAACAGTAACAACAAAATAAAACCCAGCAACAACAACAAAGATTAAGAATGTGGGAGAAGTGATGAGGTGCGAATTCTGAACTAAATTATGAGAGGTATTGTGGCTCCCTCCTTGTTTCCACTTGGGTTGTCTGCCCTGGAAGAGACTCGCCTCCGTGTTGGGGAGACACGCGGGCCGCCCGTGGAGAGGCCTGCACGCCGAGGAGCTGAAGCCTCTGCAGACAGCCCTGGAAGCGCGTCCTCCAGCCCAGGGAAGCCTTCAGATGGGGCTGCAGCCCGCTGACCATAGGATGGATCCTGAGCCAGGACCACCCAGCTAATTGCTCCTGAGCTCCTGACCCGCAAAAACTACTCTAATGTTTGTTGTTTTAAGCCGTTAAGTTTAGGGGTTATTTGTTATGCAGCAATAAGTAACTAATATAGATTTTGGTCCTGGAAGTGGGATATCGCTGTAACCAGAACCTAAACTGTGGAAGAGAGCAGGGGAACTGGGTCGTGGGCTGAAGCTGGAAGAGCTTTGAGGAGAGGGTCAGTGAAAGCGTAGAGGCTTTGAAGAAACTTCGCAGAAGGCTCGTGGGCTTTGAGGAGGCCATGAGGGCAGGCTGCAGAAAATTAGATAAACGCTGTTGGAAACTGGGGGAAATGTTCTCTTGGTGTGAAAGCAGGAAGGTTGGCCGCACTGTCCCGTGAAGTAACGTGGAAAGCAGGAAAGGCACCTAATGAACTGGGGATGTAACTAAGATTTTCACTTCAAGGGATTGCCTGGTTTCTTTTTGCTGCTTATGATAAAATGCAAAAAAGTAGAGATGAGCTGAAAGAAGGACAGTTAAATAAAAAGGAACCAGGACTTGATGGTTTTATTATTTATTCATTCATTCAATTAATTTATTTGAGTCTTCACCTGAGGATATTTTTCCATTGCTTTCCAGAAGGAGCAGAAGAGAGGGAGAGACACTGATGTGAGAGAGACGCAGTGATTGGATGCCTCCCGGACGCACCCCGACCGTGGGCCAGTGCTCTAACCACTGAGCAAACCCGCTAGGGCAGGACTTGATGGTTTTAAAGATTCCTAGCCTCTCAGATGACAAGTTATGTTTAAATTAAGAAATGATTTAAATGATTTAAATTAAGCCAAGATCAAAAGGACACTTCCAGCCCAACCAGCATAGCGCAGCTATTGAAAGTTGACCTAGGATCCAGGAGATCGAGGTTCGATTCCTGGTCAGGGCACATGCCCAGGTTTTGGGCTCGATTCCCAGGAGGGAACGTGCAGGAGGCAGCTGATCATCATTGATGTTTCTCTCTCTCTCTCTCTCCCTCTCCCTTCCTCTCTCTCTGAAATCAATAAATATATATATATTTAAAAAAGGGACACTTCCAGGAAAACAGAGTTCAAAGATGAATCCAAGGATGTGACTGTTTAACCCCTTGATAAGGCCTCAGAAAGATCAAAGGTGATGCCTCAGAGCACCGTCCAGTCAAGTCCTCCTAGCATTTTTAAAGTGTGCTTTGCAGACTCTCTCAATTAAACAACAGAGCTCCTAGGAAACTGAAGGGTGCTGTTCTGCAGCAGAATCTCAAGGTAGAGAAGGGCTTATCTTGAAGAGATTTGTGGGTTCGCCTTTTGAATAATAGTGTGGACCCAATAAGATTCATAGGAGACCTGAGAAGATTTTTGAAGAATTACATCGACATAAACGCTGCCAGGTTGACCAAAAGAAAGAAGCCGGTAAAGGGATCAGCGTATTTTGCCTGTGAGAGGAATGTAAGTGATTTATGTCTGGGGGACAAACGGTGCAAATCTTCAAATATGCCCCCAAATTCTTTGTTACTCTTTCCTTCGAGGAGAAGCTTAGTTGTCTTCTTGAGTGTGGCCTGTACTTAGCGGCTTCCTTCCAGGGAATAGAAGGTGGTGGTCACAGTGCTGGTTTCCAAGACTTGGTCATAAAAGGCACTGTGCCTCCCCCTTGCTTTCTCTTGGATCGCACGCTTTAGGGCAGTTTTTCTACCTCTGCACTGTTGATATTTTAAACAAGATTTTTCTTTGTTGTTGGGGCTGTCCTGTGGATTGTAGGATGTTTAGCAGCATCCCTGGCCTCTGCTTACCCAAGATTC